ATACTGAGACCTTAGTACTTATATCTCAAGATGTGTGGCGCATTTACGTTGTAGATGTCTATGGGCTCCAGTAATCACTTAACATCAGGTGGGCTGTGAGCTCGTCCACAAACTTAAGCAATAAAAAAAAAGATAAGCAATAAGCTCACGGTCCATCTGAAATAGCGTGTAAGCTTCGACTGTGTCTCAATAGTGTAGTAATTAAGTAAATTACAGTTTTGTTGATTTGATTTTAATTACACGATATTGTTCCTGCCTAGAGGAATTTATGAACATGTGTTAAGTATGTTACACATTTGAAAATTTTTAAATATTTGTAATTGCCTGCGAATCTGAACACGGCCAAAGTAGTCTCGTTACATTGTAGCGCACGAGTGCTTTATCCCTTATTTTTTTATGTACATATATATTTTTTAAGATTTAATTCAGATATTTCATTCATTTTACATTTATTAACATTTGACATAGAATATAAAATAAAAATAATAACAGCAATCTCGGAATAAAATAAAAATCAATGTCACAAAAAACGGTAATAATAATACCAATAATAAATAAATCTTCAATACTGCACGTATTGTGAGGAGGTTTCTCACTCTGGAGTACTAACTACTGGTGGCTTGTATCGTAGACACCGCCATCAGCGGCCATCTATTTTTATATAGTGTTTTTAAAAAATATTATGTAATAAATAAAGGTATAATCTTTATTTATTACATAATATTTAAAAAAAAAACCTTTTTAAAAAAATATTGTGTAATTAATAAGATTTTCAAATAAATATAGAATACTACGAATAAATAATAAGTATTTATTCGTAGATAGAATATAATAAAATAAAAATTTATGTCAAAACTACCTTAAACTAAAAGCAGGTTTATATAAGTATTTTGTTATTATATAAAAATTAGTACCCGGTTGCGGGATTCGAAGGCTGGCATAGCCGCAACGCTCGATGCAAATATACTAGGCGCCATTTAGGCCACGGCGACTTCAAAATCTGTTTAGTTCTATGTAAAAATATGGAATAGAACATACATTTGAAAAAGCTTTGTAATGTCACCCGTCCCAACCAACCATCACAGAGGAAAAAGACATAACTCTAATTCGCGCTAAAGGTTTCAAGCCAATCCACAATTTGTATAAGTTCCAAACCACAACACTAAGAACGGCAGTCTCCTGAGAGACCACACATGCTCTGTAGCAGATCTTCACAATGTTGTTTCCTAGAGTGATTTTTATAATAATATGATGTTATCTAATTGAAAGCATTTCCAAGATCATTGAAATGAGGTACAAAATATATTAATGGTGAAAGTGATTTTTTAACTCATCTATAGTAAACACGCTCGTAGGTTTCCCGATCAGGAGACACGATAACTGCCCCTAGACATCGGCGACATCGAAGAATTAAAAAGAAGCGCCTGTTTATAAATTATCCGCTATATAAACCTACAAATACAAAAGAGTCTAATGATCGATACGAAATGAATAATTCGTTAGCCGGTCACGTGACTAGGCGCTGTGTTGCCAGGTGTAATTTATAGTTCAACGGAGGGGCGATTAATTAGATCGTGATCTGACTAGCTTACACGATAAAATTATGCCAACATAACCTTTAGTAATTAAATTAAATCAACGAATACTGTGCGAAATGAAACGTAAAGTTTTACAAATAATTTTCATCGAAATTTAGGCGGCAGTTAGCACAATATTCAAGTGTCGGCGAATAATAGTTTAGTCAGCCATTAGTTACTACGTAGGTTGAAAATTTTACGAATTACTGGTTACAATACTGTTGCGTCTATTTCTTATAGGTATCTTGAGGTGGCCAGGAAAATGAATAAATGCGTTTACTTCTTCAAATACTAATTATATTGGTTTTAATTATTTTACAAAAATAGAATTGACATGCGCGTTCATCTTTTTCCTTCGTGTAATATTTTTTAGGCTTTGACAATTGGTGCCACTGTTGCGTTCCCTGATTTCTCATTGGTTCGTGCAATATCACATAACCGCTGGCCAATAATAGCCATCAATGTATTCATTCATTAACAAATATAATGGGAAAAAACGCGAATTAAAAAAAAATCGTTTTAAGTTTATCGATGAATGAATAGTCTTCTTCTTTTTCTTCTTCTTAGTCGGGCACTCTTGTCAGAGTGGTCGTGGCTATCCTGACGATGTGCATGTCTTCTTCTGTATCGTTCCCTCACTACTGAGGATAGCGACCACATGCGACGTACTTCCAATGTGCTCGATCATGGGTGGCATGGACTGCATGGTACAGACTACCACCGAGTGCTTCTCTTACTAGGTCTGACCATCTGGCTGGTGTTCTGCCCACGGCGCGCTTGCCCTCTATGCGACCCGTAATTATGAGCTTCTGTAATTCATGTCTGGGAAACCGCACGATGTGTCCAAAGAAGCCACATAACACGTTCCCGGCAGATGGAAGAGAGCCTTTTTCGGATGTGCATGTAGAAGAATTTATTAGATCGCCCATGTTCCCGAAGTCTGCCTTCCTGGCGATGCGCTTCCAGATCTGGCGGTTCGAAGCGTTAGGAGTACATTGGAGCACGGTGGACTCAATTGCCTTATTTATTAGTCCAGCGGGTTGGTGATCGGCCGCATGATCTCTTGCCTTCCACCCGGCCTTGAACTACCAATCTCAACATGAATAATACTATGTTATTATTTTACGAATGTATTATTATGATTTCTGAAACATTACCAAGACAAAAAATTAACATGATTACACGTCTTCAAGGTCGGATTTGTGGGTATGTCGGACCTCGGTGCCTCCGGGGTCCTCCCTGAGAGGGATACGAGAAGGGCCAAGGTCCTCCACTTCTCCCAATTCCTCGCAAACTCCTACGCCTTGAATTAGGCGCGCGAGGCACTCGCTCCGAAAAACCGTGCTAACACTACCCCTAGCAAAATCAGTGCTTCACAGAATCTACCACCGGATCGGCAACACGACTCACTAAGAAGATCCGGCGAGAAACTCAGTGGACTGCGTCTGTGGGTTAATTTACTCGTCGAACCTTTCGTTACAAGCGACGGGCTCGACGACGGGTGACCGATACTTGAGGTACCTAAAAGCAACGATCGGATTTGATCAGGAGCATCCGGAATGACGTTTTTATGGCGACGTCGACTGTTTACCATTAGGTCCGCAGGATCGCGTATGTAAAATTGCTGAACACGCCTAAATTATGAAAGTGTTTTAAATACAATTCTAACTAAACCTTTATAAAAAATATAAATCATAACAATATAAATCTACAACGTAAATGCGCCACCCACCTTGAGATATAAGTTCGAAGGTCTCAGTATAGTTACAACGGTTACCCCACCCTTCAAACCGAAACGCATTACTACTTCACGGCAGAAATAGGTGGGGTGGTGGTACCCACCCGTGCGGACTCAAAAGAGGTCCTACCACCAGTGCTAAATTTAAAATGTATAATATTGGATTAGGACTTCCCAGCTCTTAGAAATATTGCGTAAACTTAAACGAATACATACCTTCTTGTATCAAAATAAATACATTACTCATTTCAAATGTTTCATGTTGCAAAGTATGACGTCATAAAATCAAATAACAATTCACTCGATTGAATCATTCGATCATTCGCCTTCACGTCACTACGAAATCTGCCAGGTGTAATTTATGGCTCAAGTGATTGATATTGTATTAATTAGCGATTCAAACGACAATAAACTTGACGCGAGGATACACGTCGCCGGCTTGTTCATTATAGGGCGGAGTGCGCTTTATTGTATGACAGGAGTCGACATATTTCAATAACTGAAGATACGATACGGGCGTGTATGTATTATAACATTACTTTTTTAAGTTTTGGGTAAAAACCTTTTCTTCTTCTTCTTTTTCTCTAGCTTTTTCTCCACCATAAATTTGTGTAATTACTGGTGGTAGGACCTCTTGTGAGTCCGCACGGTTAGGTACCACCACCCCGCCTATTTCTGCCGTGAAGCAGTAATGCGTTTCGGTTTGAAGGGTGGGGCAGCCGCTGTAACCATACTGAGACCTTAGAACTTGTATCTCAAGGTGTGTGGCGCATTTACGTTGTAGATGTCTATGGGCTCCAGTAATCACTTAACACCAGGTGGGCTGCGAGCAGGTCCACACATCTAAGCAATAAAAAAAAACCTTATCCCACTAGGTGGGGTCGGCACAGCGAATTTTTCTATTCCATTCTCAACACTCACTCCTCTCTCTCTCATATCGTCATTCACACACTCCATCCATGTCTTCTTTGGTCGACATCTTCCCCCTCTACCTTTACATCTCCTAGTCACATGCATCTTCTCTCCACGCATCACATGTCCATACCACGCTAACCGTCCGCTCCTTAATTTGTTGATTACCGGGGCTACTTTTACACTTTCTTTTCTATAGCTTTAAAAGATATGATACAATTCAATTAAAACTTTGGTAAAGCACGCATTGAGCTTATGACGTATAGCTTATTTTTTCGGTTGCATATACAGTAAAAGCTCTTTATTCGCGGGATATATACAGAAACCGTGAATATGGAATGTTCATTTACTTAAGTGGAATTATGGCGAATAGGTACGTTCCTAGGTGACAAAATAAAAAACAAGTATATACAGCAGTATATCGTTTAACAACATACTTTAAGCATAGTTGTAATTAGGCTTATTTTACTATTTTACTAATCCATTTGACGACGCGCTTACAAAGGATATTCGGTTGGATTCCATTTTAGAATCCTTTTTATCAATGTGTATGTACCGAGGTGCTGATCAGATCCGCGAATAAAGAAATCTTTAGCCGCGAAAATTGGGATTGGATTGTATTTTATTTTAATCCGCCTATAGTGAAAATGCGAATGAAGGAAGTGGGAATAAGCAGTTTTTATTGTACTCATAAGTACAATTTTCTGCTGTGGTATTGTAGTCTATGATTTCTTCTAACGTGTCAGATGATGTGTTAATACAAAACGACTCACCCTAGCCCGCGACCTCGTTCCTGGTTGGTAGTCGTATCCTCGACCCTGCAAATAATAACAAAAATAAAAATAACTGGGAACAAATCACGCACGGTCATGCGGCTCCAATATAGGACCCCCTGCCCCCCGATTACTCTCTTTAGTCAATCCATACCCTGGGCCAGGAAGGTCAAGTACCTGGGCGTTACCCTGGATGCATCGATGACATTCCGCCCGCATATAAAATCAGTCCGTGACCGTGCCGCGTTTATTCTCGGTAGACTCTACCCCATGATCTGTAAGCGGAGTAAAATGTCCCTTCGGAACAAGGTGACACTTTACAAAACTTGCATAAGGCCCGTCATGACTTACGCGAGTGTGGTGTTCGCTCACGCGGCCCGCACACACATAGACACCCTCCAATCCCTACAATCCCGCTTTTGCAGGTTAGCTGTCGGGGCTCCGTGGTTCGTGAGGAACGTTGACCTACACGACGACCTGGGCCTCGAATCAATTCGGAAATACATGAAGTCAGCGTCGGAACGATACTTCGATAAGGCTATGCGTCATGATAATCGCCTTATCGTTGCCGCCGCTGACTACTCCCCGAATCCTGATCATGCAGGAGCCAGTCACCGTCGACGCCCTAGACACGTCCTTACGGATCCATCAGATCCAATAACCTTTGCATTAGATGCCTTCAGCTCTAATACTAGGGGCAGGCTTAGGGACCCCGGTAACCGTACTCGTCGAACTCGACAAAGAGGTCGACGTGCAACCTAACCCATGCATCAGCCCGCTGAGTTTCTCGCCGGATCTTCTCAGCGGGTCGCGATTCCGATCCGGTAGTAGATTCATTCGCGAAACAATTGCTCTTGAGTTGTTAGGTCTCCTTCGGAGGCGCTCGGGCAGTTGTTAGCAAATCCCACCCCTCTTGGCTGAGCCTTTGCTCGCCCACCTGTCCTGGTGAAACTGGAAAGGCCTCCGGGCCACCAGTAATCCTTCAATCATAAAAAAAAAAAAAAAAAAAAAAAGGACCCCCTGTACTATGGGTACCATTGACTGACATACATAGTTATATACGTTTAAATATATACATATATAGATAAAAACAGCCAGACGAAGATTTTTTTTCCTACCTAAGCTGATGGTCTAGAGAGACCATATTAGCGTAAGCTTAACTAGTAGGTGAGCTCACGGGGCTCAAGCCCGACTATGTTACTAGCACGAACCCTAGCAAGAGCCGTGCTTCGCAAAATCTACCACTGGATCGGAAACGCGACCCACTGAGAAGATCTGGCGAGAAACTCAGTGGGCTGTGTCTTTGGGTTTATTTACTCGCCGAGCCCTTCGTCACAAGCGACGGGTTCGACGAGAACGATGACCGGTGCTTGGGGTACCTAAAAGCACCGCTAGTGGATCGGGAGGATCCGAAATGATAGGTGGTGCAGCCGTTGTAACTATACTTGAGACCTTAGAACTTATATCTCAAGCTGGTTGGCGCATTTAGGTCGTAGATGTCTATGAGCTCCAGTAACCACTTCAGATCAGGTGAGTTGTGAGCTCGTTCACCCACCTAAGCAAAAAAAAAAAGAAAGAATTTTCAATGATGGCCTAAGCCGAAATGTCGAAGTAATTGGACGAGCAAAATACCAGTCTATCTAGTGGCAGTAAAATTACAAATACTATAGAAATTAGCATTGTATTTCGTTTAAGACCGCTTCGTTAATGTACATCAAAGAAGCAAGAAAGTTGATTGCAATTAAAATGTTGTAAAATTTTGAGGACATAATTCAATCAGGCTTGATGCTTCAAAAGGAACGGTCGAAATAGGGGTAAGTGGAAGGCCCTGCGGGAATTCTGGGTAAGTGTTGAACTTTTAAAACGTTAAAAGGGCAGGACTGAATTAGTTAGGCAGATAGGTTCACTGTTGTCAAGGGTTTTATTGTTTACTGTTTCCGGACAGTGTGCTACCAGTTTTTCTCATGAAATGCTCTGTGTTGGGAAGTACGATTTAATGACTCGCTTTTTATATTTTAGTTTCTGCAAAACGTGTTTCGCTGTAATGATCTAATGGGAATGTAAATAAATATTCCAGTTATGGTTGGGGAAAAAGTCTTTTCGCATTATAGTATGTATGAACTTGTAATAAAACCTCTTTGGCTTATTTGAATCTGGCTGGTTTGGTATCATTAAAAGCTTAAATTTTAAAGAAGGTAATTCCAAATTCAAATTAAGAAAATGTGTGATTTTTATTTATTTTTCGTACTGTCAAGATGAGTGAATCTAATGAAGAAATTCGATACATTTTCAAATTTTACTAAAAAGAAATTAAAAATGCAACGAAAGCCGCGAAAAAAAATTGCGATGTTTATGGACCTAGTGTAGTGTCTGTGAGAGTAGCACAAATTTGGTTTAAGCGTTTTCAATCCGGAAATTTTGATGTTAAAGATGCATGTCGTACATGACGGATAAAATGGATGCCATTTTTGGAAAAGTGGAGCAAGACCGGCATATCAGTAGTTACGACGTAGCTGAAGAACTGGGAATTGACCACAGAACAGTTTTGGCGCTTTTGAAAAAAACTGGGTACACAAAAAAGCTCGATATTTGGGTACCTCACGAGCTCACTGAAAGAAACCTAATGAACCGTGTACTCATTTGTGATTCTTTATTACAACGTAACGAAACCGAACCATTTTTGAAGAAGCTGATAACTGGCATTGGGGAAAGCCTATGTCCAGCAGTGGGCAGATAAAGGCTGATGATGATGATGATAACTGGTGATGAAAAGTGGATCACGTACGACAAGAACATGCGAAAAAGGTCGTGGTCAAAGGCCGGTCAGGCTTCACACACTGTGGCGAAACCCGGATTAGTTCGCAACACGGTGATGCTGTGTGAGTGATGGGATTGGAATCGATTCTGAACTCTATTGCGAGCAACTGATGAGATTAAAGCAAGAAGTTGAGAAAAAGCGGTCGAAATTAATCAACAGAAGGGGTGTGCTTCTTCAACATGATAATGCTAGACTTCACACATGTTTAGCCACTCAGCAAAAATTAAGAGAGCTTGGCTGGGAGGTGTTAATGCGTCTGCCGTATACAGCAGGACTATAAGTCCTGACCTTGCACCTTCAGATTTCCATCTGTTTCGGCCTCTTCAGAATTCTTTAGGCAGTGTCAGGTTAACGTCACGGGAGAACTGCCAAAACCAACTGTCGCGGTATTTTGATCAGAAGCCTCAAAATTTCTATAGCAATAGGACCATGCCCCTACCTACAAGATGGCAACAAGCTATCGAACAAAATGGTACCTACATACTTTAGTTAAATGTAAATAAACTATGTTAAAAAACGTTGTGATTTTTCTTAAAAATTCTTAAAAACTTTTTCCCCAACCTATCATTATCTAGTTTATTAAAAAAAAATATTTTTTTTGGTTCATTGCTCTGACTCCAAATACAACAAAATATACAAACCTAAATATGTAAAACTAATTTTAAAAACCATAAGCGTTTCAACATTATTTTACAGCTTTTGATGGTAGAGATTTCACGTCAATACTAATAGAAGAAGCACCAAGGTCGAAATAAGAATTGTATACTTTAGAATTGTGAGTGATCAATTTGTAGATACTCAAAGGGAGGTAAATAACGTTTTATTTTGAACACTTTAATCAGAATTCCATCGACTTACTCCAACTTATCGTTAGCCGTTCTAAATTATTGTAAGCTGTGATCAATCCGCAACTGAGACTTCAGCCTCTAACCTCAGAACGGGAGGGTATTTAGCCAGAACGGATTATCAGCTCCGTTATCCGTTTAACTGGATCCATTTTCTTTAATCCAACCCGACTAATCGAATGAAAATGTAATTCATCGAGATTATCACTTCGCCAAAGAGAACACCATCGCCCAAACGACCCAGAGTATTATTTGAAAACTTTAATTAGATCTTCCTTATTTTTCTTGGCAGTGCCCGAAGGAAGCACGCTCCATCGCTTTTTATGTTAAATTAGCGAACGGAGCCTCTTTTGTGTTAAAAAAAAAAGAAGAAACGATTGTAAATCCATGGAAATTGTCCTCAGAGGCGCAATTTATTCCTCTCTTGAGTATGAGTACGGTACAAGTCATAAAAGTTTAGTGGTTTCCAAATAGTGTGATGTCATAAGTGGTTCCGTTGGACGTGTTTGAAGAAACGGGTGTGAGTAGCTAGATAGATATATTTCCTACAAAGGAACTAATGTACTATTTAATATCTAGAGATCCCATTCCAAGATTTGAACGGGTTTGAGCAAGAATGAATTGTAGATAGATTCGCGGATAAAAAGTTTTTCCATGTACCTTATATTTGCAAAGAATGTTGAATTAGCTAGTGATTGTTACATTTATATTTCTACATGACGTTATCGAACTGGTATAATGTAATTTCAAACAGTCGAAACTAACTTTTATCCGTGGTCTCATTTGCCATAGTCAAGAAAAAGTCCCTGAGGATTTACTTGGGGTACCACTCTTTATATCCTTACTATGCCCATGACAACCTATATGCAAAACTTCACGATTGGCAATTGAATAATTAAATGTGGAAAGCGTAACAAACAAACTTGCTTTCGCATTTTTTATATTAGTATGGATTGTTTTAAAAACAACGTCATCACTTCAAACTTGGACCGTTCGAGAAAAATCGACGCATTAGCGAAGCAGACATTATGTAAACAGAATTAGTCTTCAGCAAACGAATCGCAAGCATGCCCTGTTTGCATTGAGACGGTAATTATTATCGTCGATTTAATTCCAACACGAAAAAACATTTCAACATGAAAATTAATATTTGAATTCGATGAACAATTGATTTGTAGGGTTTATATAATTATTGGTAAAATTTTGTCTAATAACAAACTAAGTATGTTTATGCCTTTCATATTGTAAGGTTTATAATTCTTTATATTAATATGATTATATAGAGTCCTGTAGATATTAAGAATTATTATTAAATATGAGGTTTATATTGCAAACCATTACAATATTATTGTTTACTAGCTGACCCGGCAAACATTGTTTTG